GTATTAAATAGAGTAGAGATCGTAATAAATACTTATTTACTCTATTTTTATATTTTTTTGATTAAGCAGGAACTTTTTTATATTATTATATTATAGAGATAAAACAACACTACCAGTAGCAGCTCTCTTTACATATTATATTGTTCGCAATAAATTTGTTTTAATAAGAACTGTGGGTCTGAGGTTATCTCGCAAATGCTTACATTTTTATCATAATCCGAAGTTGACAATGGGCGGCAACAATTATTTAACATCAGGTGAAAGGCTAGCTCGCTTCTCTCATTAAAAAGACCGTCACACGTCTTTTTAAGGGTATTAAAACGAAAAGTTAAGCTCTCTATAACTTAACGATATTGGCAACAAGTAGCAAAGAAAACTGCGCTTTAATAAATACGAGTGCCGCCATCTAGACTAATAAAGCTACAACTTTTAACTTTCGCGAACAGTTTCACGTTCACCGAAAGTCAAAGAAAATAATATGGCTTTAACGATATAGATGGCGTTTTAAAAAAAAATTATAAAACCCCGAAACAGAAGGCCATGGTTCGTGTCACGATCATTTACATACTTATTTTTTACTTTTTTTCCAGATCATTGCTTTCTTTATTTTTTGTCCATCCAGATGATTTTGTTCTTTTTTCCCTTTTTTTTAAAGTTCTTTTGTGAAAAACACCAGTTCATATTTTCTTATTATTACGTCGGTAAGATCGAAAAATATTATGCATATTTCATTACTCAGTAATTTGTATCTAAATGTAATTTCCAAAATACACCATTTACCAAAAAAAAAACCGAAGCAAAGATTGGTCCTCCAGGTACAAACTATTATGTTTAAATAATTTCTGCATATACACTACAATGACTACAAAGTTAGCTAGCATTATCTTCTTCCTTCGGCCTCTATCCCACCTAGATGGGGTTGGCAATTGAAGCATGTTGTTGATCCGTTCGTTCTAAGTTTTTTACCAGCCGCCTCGCCTGACATCAACCATCCTTGGGAATGAACACCTAGATTCGGAACAATGATATGTGGATCGCACAGGTAGTGTTGGAATCGAACCCACGACCCACAGCACCGAAGCCAAAGTCTTAAAAGCTACGCAAACGATTAATTTTCAATATAGTCACGAGTTACATTTTGAAGATAAATATAAAGAATAATAAAGAAGGAGAGAGACAAGAGAAGACATTGCAAGAACCCTGTTTGGGGAACTATTACAATATCGCAGTATTTACTCGAATACAACACGGTAATTTATAAATACTATTTAAACTAAATTAGTGTAACGAATTCAGTTAACGTAAACTCCGTAACTCTCTGTTTTAGTAGGACCACCCTTATGGTGAAATGCCACGTCCGGCATAAATACCATTTTTTTGTTTTGTTAAAGCTTCCTTCCAAAGTAATTGAGATCACTATCCTACTCCTGCCCTTATCCCGGCTAGTTGGGTTTGGCACAACATGTGAATAGTTGTATGTGGTTTTTTCCGTCATAAAAATCCCTCCTTTTGAACAGACAACCAGATCCGGAACAATTATCACACAAATAGCTGTCCCTTGTGAGAATCGAACCCATGACCCCGGCGCCGAAGCTAATAGCTTAGCAACTACACTACAAGTCATCTTAACATTATTAAATTCAAATATCTTTATTCAACATAGAAGCATTACACTTATTGATTGTCAAAATACTACTCGCGGTTCGGAAAAGGAAAGCCACTGTGACCTGAGAAGGAGCGACGATTGAAACGTATTATAAACGGTTCCGTACCCAAAGGGTAAAACTGGACCCAATTACTAAGACTCCGCTGTCTATCTGTTTGTCTGTCTATCCGTCTGTGTATCAAATCAATATCAATTGAAATTTTCCCAAATGATTTTCTTCTCTTACCACTATAACAACAAATACTAAAAAACAGAATAAAAAAATGTTTAAGTGGGGGCTTTCATCCAAAAAACATGATTTTTTTTACCGTTTTTATAGATAATGGTACGGAACCCATGGTGCGCGAGCCCGACTCGCAATAAATTGTTTTTTTTTTACCATTTTAGACAGTGAAAACGTATTTACGATATATTAAAGGCCTATTGAGAGAGCTTTTAGCGGTTATTTCATTTTCAGAGTGTGTTATCATTAAAATAATCATTAGTTTTTTTACAGTCTTCAACACAAACACAAACGTTCTTTTACAATTTTTTTTTTAATTTAGCAATTGATACATTTTGAACGTTTTTGGTTTTTGGAGGTTTTGTTGTAGAAACGTATACGTTGAAATGTTTACTTATTCTATGCAGTCTAGTTGTAGGATTAATGTATGTTTTGTTCCTTCCTATTATTTATATCAATGACATTACTATGCCTTGAAAATTCATCCTTATTCTTGTGAATATTCATAACATTTTGAAATACAGGGAGATTTTTTGAGAAGTGGAAAGAAAAACAAAGTTTTTTTTTTTCAAAAAAAATGCCATTCTATTCCATAAAAACAGAACGTTTTGACAATGCGGTAGTCATTCATAAATACCTAAATTTAACTGTGCACGAACTTGTGTGAGTGTTAGTTATAAATGATCGCGCGTAAATAAATGAGTTGCGTATAAATCACGCACTTTTTGAGATAAGTTCAAATGAATATAATCAATTACTTACGAGTGATTTTAATCATTTTTATATTAATTAAAATATTTATCATTTTTATATTAAATTATTTATGTCTAGAATGTAATAAAAAAGTAGATACACTTAGAAAAGCCACCCTGTATATACTAAGAAGCAACAGTCAATATCTTTATCTCTTTAAACTAATTTCCTAGTTGTCCTTCGGGGTCCAGGTTATAAACTGCTCCAATTTCCTATCGTTATCCTTTATCTTACTAGTTATCAGAAAACACGAAGCAGTTAAGTTTTCCTATACTTAGGAAAAATCAATACGATTATAAAGAGTGGGTGGTGGTGAAAATGAAATCACATTGGCGTATTAATTTATGCAATATTATCTTAAAGCTTTCTTCACACTAAACCGGTGTAGAGCTAAAAACCCTATTTAAGAGAGTAATAACGATATCCTCCCTATATTATCTTATAAGAATAACATATAATCTGTCAAATATAATAAATAGAAAATAATAAAGTATGTAAATATTTACGAACATACTTACCAGTCTGTTCACTTCCCCCACCATGGTAGGTCATTGGTCAGAATCTCTTAAAACACAGTAACACATTTTTTATGACACTTAAAGTCACAAAAATTATTTTGGGACAGAACGCTAAGCTTTCAAACGATGTACGCACCTGCAATAACAAAGTCCATCAAAAGAGAAAGAAAATTGTCCGATCAATCTTTTTAATTTTCATTTTGCTCGTCTCTATGAACGAGCTATAAGATCTACCATAATATTATTATATAAAAATAAAAAACCGTGCAAGTGTTAGTGGAACTCGTACGCCGAGGGTTCCCTACATATCTATTATACCGCCATAATATAGTTGGTAAGTAATCACCACCGATATTCTCAGGAACGGGTGGACCTAGCAAGTTGAAATTTAAACCAGATAATGAGGTGTTTAAAACTTAAGGTCCTGAGTCTACAACATAAAAAATTTCATGATTTGCCAAATTTCGTTATTCTAGGATTTTAAGGGAACTACCATATAGGTTTTCTACCCAAAACCTATAGGGTACTTCCATTGGCAACTACTACTTTAGTAAAGGGCAAGTAAAGGGAAAATAACAAAAAATCTTTATCTGTGGTAGGGCCACGCAGCAGCCTCGGCTGTTGCATGAATGGGCAGGCTCGTCCGGGTAAGTACCACGACCTCACAGAAGACCGGCGTAAAGTGGAAATATAATAAATATTATCGACTCAGGATTTTTGTATAGAAATCTTAGTACCTGTACCTGATATAAATTTCAACTTGCTAGGTCCACCCACTGAGAAAATAGGTAGTGACACACGAGCTGACATAGGGACAAGAGAGTGATCTTATAAGGATTCCTTTTTTTACTTTTTAAGGTACGGAACCCATTTTATTACTTACATCGTCGTCGAAAAATAACAAAGTTCATTAAAAACTGAATTACCGTAAACATTAACAATGCCAGAAAAATGTTATACAAATAGGAATTATGATAAAAGAAGTTCTGCAGTAACATACTATATATGATGAATATAGGCTTTGATATGATTCGGTATTTGACGACATCATTTGATTTACTTCTTTCTAAGCTCAATCTTAAAATATATGGTATATTTTCTTCAAAAGAAATGCAGTGTGTTGGAACCCTTGCTCTCTGATAGAGTTATTTGTCAACAACTTGCTTCCCCGGAGGTTATATTTAGAATGAAGGTCGCTGTTCGGTTCTCATTAAACAAATGCCTGTTAAGGTGCAACAGTATGACTACTGTTGAATATTAATCAGCACCCTCGCATCTCAATGGGGGTATAAAATGCGTATAAATCACACGTATTTGCACATTCGACAAAGTGTTTTCGACACGGCTCACCGATAGAAAACAGCAAAGGTGAGTTTTAATAAAGTGTCGGTAATAGCGCAAGTGTACCATCATCTACCTTTTTTATGTATGTGGCAAGCAAGCTACCGGACCTAACTCACCAGATTTCATTGAAAGTTTAACACATTCGCTTTATGCCGGTCTACAACGATGTCGTGGTTCCTCCCTGGAAGAACCTTCCGATTCGTGCAAAGACTGTTGCGTGGCCCAACCACGGCTAAAAACTACCTGGGTCAAATTTGGTGTTATTTTACACACGCTTTTCAGAAGTTCTTGTATAATAAGGTCTTCCTTTAATATTTAATATTTATGATTTTTCAATTAGTTCCACACTACTTTTTAAATTCCTCATGATAACTCAAATGAAAAACAAGGCGTTTTTCGTTTCGTTTATTTGAGTTATTGTTTATGTGTGCAGAACTAAGGAAAATATAATTTTCAATCACGTATAATCCATTTGATAAGTGTTCAATGATTTCAGATGCTTCGCAAAATTCTTGCCATTATCGTCGTGTCCCTTGCGATTTCGACTTGCTGTGCCCACATAGGAGGCCATATATCTCTTCAGGACGTTAAGGATATAAAGCCGCAAAAGTTCTGCGGACCACAGCTGGCCAATACTCTTGCTCTAGTGTGTTACGAAGAAAACGCCGGCGTTGGGAAGCGGTCTGGATACAAATCGATCTACAGTAAGTAACAGTACACTCAATTTATATCATAGTATCTAGAACTGGATACAAAAGGGTAAGTATCGCTTTAATAAAGAATGAATGATAGAAGCCAACGACCCGTGGTGGGTTGTTCGTAATGATACTTAATGCTTGTTAAAATTAAGTAACTGGATACGTACTATTTATCAATCGCTGCACACTGGTACAGAGAGTATTTCGCTCTGTCTTCCCACTCATAGGCAAATAGCAATCGAAAGAAATAATGTTTCATTATTTCTATCTGTTTGATTAAATAATAAAATGCAAAAAAAATCTCACTAGACACAATATATATAAATATAAATATATATAAATATATATAAATATATATATATATATTGTATATATATATATATATATTATATGTAAGAAAAAGTACGAAAAGATTGTCGCCGCTGTGGCTATCAGCCGTTTAGCTCAGTGGCTAGAGCGTCAGGCCGCGAATGCCGAAGACGTGGGTTCGATTACCACAGCGGCGACAATCTTTTCGTACTTTTTCTACATGTTTTAATAGTTAGTATAATATTAAATTAATTATACACCTAAAATGTAATCCAAAACTGCAGTAAAATTCTATATAGAAATCAGACCGTCTACGTGCAGTGCGGTGCTATTATGGCTCACTCGCTCTTTATGTCCATTTATATGTGTCTAATGAAATGTATGTTTGTATGTATGTTTAATGTATGTTTTTTTATTATTTTTAAACAAATAAAATTACATTTATTTACGGTTATTGTTCACAGACTCAATAATGCCCTCATTGTACAAGGAGCAAGAAATACCGTATTGGCCATGGCTGTCGGCTGAAAAGGCAAGAAGCTTGGGCTTGCCATCTCGAGGCAAACGCTACGTAGGCGTGGTGGACGAATGCTGTTTCAAAGCCTGCAGTATCGATGAACTCATGTCCTATTGTTAGATTATCAGAATTCTCGTAATTATAAATCTCTAGTCGGCATATTTTCTAGTCATAGATTTAATCGCAGCTAGTATAAATTGGATACTCTTTTATTTCTTTCTTTATAATGTAAATATAACTAGTTAGTTTTCTTTGTATTTTCTATTAACAAAAATATATAATATTTGGCACATAATGTTTATATTTATTAAAAACCGAATAAAATTTCTATTCCAATCTATCTTGCCCAGAGGTCAAATTTTAATAAGTAGAAGTAAACAAGAACATGGTAAACGAGCGATTAGTCTCCTCAAGTGACAAGTCTGGCCGTGGTCACTTCTAAATTTAACACGACTAGTCAAATTCCACTGTTGAAAAAAATTTAGACTACACTAATTCTTTAGCAAAATTTGATTGTGAATTCTATCCGCTAAAATTGCCCCTCCACTCAAACGTTTTCACGAGCTGCCAAGTTTCGAACTTGCACCTTCTGAATAACCACAAGTTTGGCGGGTGATATCCTCCCCGCTCGAAAATCTACACATTTCGTTTTAATTGTATTTCTGGCAACACTTGGCGCCATCTAGTGTTAGAAATTACATTTCAAGATGGTCAAGATATAATGTATAATTGTTTTGTTGACCCATCCCTAACTACTGCGAAAACCTCTTTTTTTTTTGTAATTTTGTTTTTTGCTCCAGTCTCTATTATTTATTATAGTGTAACCTTTTTTGTATTGGACAAAATACACAATGATGCCGAATATGCCATTAACAACGTATCGCTCCAGTCTCTTCCCTAATAGGAAATCCCAGACATACCAAGATCACATCCATCACATCCCACAGCTGTTCTGATTCTCTCGTGTTTGTTTTGTAAGTCGAAGGTCTTAGCAGAGATTTCGACTTTCCGCTACTCCACTGCATGCAACAAAACATATAACTCCCTTTCCACACGACGATATTAACCATGTTCATTAATCTGGTCCAGTAATGGCCTCTGTGTCAGCTTTACTGGGTCTCTTCGCGAGTACTCTTTAGTACCAAATAAAACGCCATTGATTTTCGAATGCTTTATTAAAAAACGAGATTATTCACTGTATAAAATCTTAAAATATGGTGTATGACGTAGGTGGACATAATATAAATTATTTTTAAGAAAATTAAACACTCATAATTTTAATTTACACTTAATAAATTATAAACTTGTACCAGATAGTCAAATTGAATTAAAGCTGAATTCTCAGATAATTGATATAAATGGAACTGTCACAATACACTGAATATGGTAAAGATTAATCATATAAGAATTATCTTCATTTTTCATACAAAATTGCAGATTTTTTTTAAAGTAACAAAACTGTGTACACAGTAACACTATAACTCAAGAGAAAGGTTATTTCGAAGGAAAAAAAATTTTTTTTTAAATAAATCCTTATAAGTAATTCTTTAAAGATTTATTAAATTCGAAAGAATTACTTAAAAAAAAGAAGAATAATTAAATCTTCACGGATAGTTACTAAATCTAATATCTCTCTTACATGCTCCAATATTGATAATTTATGCCTAAGTAAGGCAACAAAATAAAAGCTTGCTTCAGTTTACATTGTAATTGCTAATATCATTAGCCTTAAATTAAATTCTTAATTCTATTACGAGTTTAGCGTGACGTACTTTCACTTCTTAAAATAAAACACCGTAGCGAAAAGAGGGCACCCGCCCTTTATGAATCTTAACTCAGGTCTTAAACAAGTAAGTCACTAATAAACCATTTCTTGTTAATGGTCATAGTATTTGATTATATACCTGACAATATATATTAATAATACAAGTATATAATCAGAGGTCACAATATACTTACTACACTGAAAAATAAAAGGAAAATATTTACAAACGAAATCGCACAATTTTAATTAAACTAACGCCTATTATTTAATATTCGATACTCGAGTCACGATTAAACTTTACGAATACCTTATTTTGGTACCCCTGTCAAAAATAAAACTGGACAAAATAAACCCTTTTATAAAAATATCAGTTATTTTTTTTTTTCATCCTCTGTAATTTTTTATGATTTTCAAATGAAACACTCCAATTTACTTAAACATTATTTTTCATATGACTACACAACCTAAGTTTTATTTTAAATACATTTGTCATGAAAGTTTAAACTTTGCTAAGTTACAAACACTACCGCCCGGTTTCTGAAACACTGATCATATAAATTAACTAATCAGCTCTCAAATGGCTTTTCAAATGTCATTTCAGTTGGCAAAAAGATGGTTAAACCCTTTGAATTGAACAGCTGATTAGTTAACTTCTCTGATGATCAGTGTTTCAGAAACCAGGCATAAATCTAACACTGATATAAATATGTAGGTATAATACAATTTATCCTTTAATATAAAATTTTTATGCAAATTTATATATGTTCTTTTGTTTTCTAAGGAAAAATGCAATTACACATGATTCAAATTAGTCTGAAATAAGAATGTGATAAGTATTTAGGTTCGAAATTGATATACATAATCACTTATCACGTGAAAAATCAGCTATGATAAAGCTCCAGCTTGATATATGTCTTTGAAGGGTCAAATCTCTGATTTGGACATGGTCTAAATATTCCTATTACATAAATAACTATAAAGTTGGCAAATTGTTGATTCAAATATTTAAAACCATCAATTCAAATGAAAATGCAACTAAAAACTTAAATAAAACCATTATTAAATATAATAAAGGACACACCAAAAAATATTAACCCTAGTAGTACAAATAAAAGCAGAAGTAATATAATCATGTCAGCAATAAGTTTGTTTCCCGTATTGTAACTTGCTGTAAGAATTAAGATTCATGTATAAAGTTTGAAAAAGCTTTTTCTAATTGCACATATAACATTTTATAAATAATATTTTTTGACATTTTAAGTCCTAATTATAAAACTAGTTGTAACATATTGAACTTAACACATTAATCACCTTTCTAACATTTTCCTTTTATTCTACCACCAAATCAAATTCGTCAATATCTTCACACATTGAGTTAAAACCGGCTGCCCATGCCTCCACTTCTTTTTCCTAAAAAAAAAAAAAGGCACAAATTATTTATATAACTTCAACTTGGCAGAATAATTCACAACTCTACATGAGACTTCACATTATTAAGGAAAGGATTAAATGAATAAAGTATTAGATAGCGCAATTAACAAATAAATAATTGTGAAGAAACAAAACCGTTATGGTTCCTAGAAATATGATAGTGTTTATGTGCTAGCTAAATAAAACAATTCACAAAATTGGTGTAACTTCCTTGCTTATTTTTTTCATATAATTGGCCTCTTCACATTTCCTGCTATTACATCATGAAAAAAATTCATATGTAGTAATGTAAAATTTCTTAGGTTACACACATTTCAGTAGTTTGGAGTTTGAACTCAAAGCAATTTGGTGCAATGGTATTTGGCAAGATGACTACTTAAGCTATACAATAGCTGTATCTAGTAGAATAAAGCATATAAATGCTCAGATATGTAAAAAAAATGGTACAGTATAATTGATTAGTTAAAACTCTCAGTAACCTGTCTGTGTTATGGACCATAGAATATTTAATACTTTTATTAAATAAATATGTAATAAATTTTTAATTTTAAACCGCACCTCTTTTTTTGAGAGCAGCTTCTTTGATTTCTTCTTGTTTCTTGTTTTCTTAGGCTTCATCATGGGTATGTTAAAAGTAAGGTCCTGTAAGTCATCCTCCTCTGCACTAGATGCATTATTATCAATGACATCACTGTCTTGACTGTCACTGGATACTGAATTTTGTCGGAATGCAACCCTCTTTTGTTTAACATAGCTTTTTCTTGGTGGCTGTAATGATTAACAAGGTATTGTATAAAGCTGCAAGCTACAGCAACACAAAATAAACCTAATTGTGTTAGAGGGATAAGTTTTTTTGTCTAAAATAATTATTATTTAGTATAATTAAAGCTTCTGGTTTTAAATGTTCAAAATCTGATTATTATAAATATGAAAAGCAATTGTTTTGTTATAAGGCAAACAAAGTAAAGTATTTTTTTTATTAAATTGACATTTCTTACTTTCACATGATGTACAACTTCAAGATCTTCAAATAAATGCACAGACTGTGAGTCTTCTTGGCTGATGTTAGCACAATCAGATATAACAGCATTGTTAATATCATTTCCTATTTCAGAATTGCAGTCATCAGTTTTCTCTGGGAAGCTTTCAGTGACTTTATCATTCAAAATGTTGTTAACATTTGTCTTTTTATTTTTCTTACCATTTTCACTTATAAATCTAGGAATTCCAGATTGCTGTTTTTGAACATTTAATTCTTGCAAAATAGCCCTAGAACGGGGCCTTAAAGCCCTTTTACGTTGTTTGTCAAATTTTTTGTGAGGTGAAATATTTTCCTGATTGTGTCCTTCACTTTCATCAAACCCAAAATATGTAATATTTTTGTCCCTCTTTTCATGCATCTCCACAGAGTTTTCCTTGTCACTTATAGACATGTTTTCTGTGCTACTGGTGACATTTTCCAAAGACTTGTTCTTACTGGGTGTAACACTTTCTCTTACCACACCCATTGCAATTTGCTTCTCTGGAGTGACATTGTCGTTAATTGAAATATTTGAGATATCTTCAAAAATTGTATTCCCTTTTACTGGTGTTGATTTTAATTTAGATTTTTTGTTTGCACTTTTCTCTGCTACTTCTTTGATAAAAGAAATTATGCTTGTCTGCTTTAACTTTGATGTATTATCATTTTCAACAATTTCTGGTAATGCCGTGTTTTCTTCATCATGTACTATATTTGTGTAAACATGTTTCTTTTTATCACCGTGAATAATAAAAGAGCTTTCAAACGCTGGGGTCATATTAGGTTTGACATATGTGTTTGCTTGCCATTTTATTGGTAGCTGTCCAAATTCAACCCTCCACGGTGTTGATAATGGGTTTCTTGTAGACACATTCATGCTACTGCTAGCTGCTGGGTTTTCATCAAAGAAACTTAGGTCATCTTGTAGATTCAATGGGTCATTACTTTTTCTTATCTCTTCAAAGTGGCTAATTCCATTTCTAGGTTCAGATGGAAACCTATCAACTATAGGGGAATTTATAGGTGAGTAGTTGATGTCATTATTTTCATTGCTTACTGATTCATGGTTAACAATTATATCTTCAACATGGAAAGAGTTGTAATTTTTCTGTGTGATATTTTGCTCTGTATTCATAACTTGATGTTCAGCATTACAATTTAGTTCTTGTTCAACAGTCTGCATTTTATTTTTTTCATTTATTTCATTAGTTTTAGCAACATCATTGCATTGTTTTTGTTTCAATGCTGTCTCTGGCTGTGTTTTAACCTTAGTTTTTGAGGACAAAACATTCTTCAAGATAGCTAGAGACTTTGCAACATTTTTATTATAATTATTTGTAAAAACTGGTTGCTTTTTATCTTGTTTTTTATGAACAATCCTTCTGCGCTTCTTCTTTTGAGGAGGAGGTTCCTCTGTAGGATCGTAAGTGAACTCATATACATCAAGATTACTTGCATCTCTTTTGTTTGATTTTTTATTATTATCAAATACTTTAAATGAATATTCTTTTTCGATGAACCTATTACCTTTTTTGACTTTTTGGTTTTTATTAGTAAAGGAAGGTGACTTGTCACATAGATTTTTGTCTTTAGTCAATACATTTGCATTATTGTTTGTATCTGCCTTGTTTTTCTGTACAACAGTAGTTTCTGTGTGATCTTTTTGCTTTTTTTGGAAGCCCCTTTTAGGGTGTGACAAGGTAACTGGCTGAGCTTTTCCTGTTTGTAACTTTTTGATAGATGTATCTTCATTTTTGCTATCAATTAATATAGTCTGTATCAAATTTTCTTTGTTAGTGCCTGCTGTTTGAAGTCTCCTCAAATTTCTCTTGCTAACTACCTTCTCCTTAACAGTGTTATTTTTTTTAGATACATTTATAGATCCCTTGATTTGTGCTATTGGGGTACTGGCTTGAATTGGTTGTACTGGAACATATTTATTAGGGCTAACTGAGTGATCTTCAAATTTAGAGGGAAGTCGACAGATTCTTTTAGGACGGCAATCAGCTATACTTTTTTCCAGGAGGTTTTCTTGTGATTTTTGTAACGGACTTAGCAAAACCACCGGATTTGTCTCATTCGTGTTAAGATTATCATTCTCTCCTAGATTTACACACTTATTTAGATTAAGTAAAACATGATTGTCAACGAAACGTTCTGGAAGCTTTCTCTTGCGACGTGTTTGCACTATATTCTGTTCTTCAGTCTTGTAAGAGACATGTGTAAGTGGACAGGATGTTTTTCTTGTATAATTGACAAACTTAGGAGAAGTCAAAGAAACATTATCGTCTGACGCAGAATTGGTTTTATCTGCTAAAGCTTTTCTTGGAGCTGTAGAACTTTTATGAACAATTTTTGATTTTGATGTAACTTTAACACAAACGTTTTCCTTAGCAGTTTTACTATTTTTTACTCTCGTACATTTGGGCGGCATGACGCGTAGTAGTTTTAACTAGTCAAAGTATTCTTAAATTATATTAAACGCAGAACACATAAACTTCATTAAGAACTAAAACACTTATTTACTAGGCTTATTCACAATTCATACATAGATCTTCTAAATAATGAGCTGTGGGTAAACTATAAGTTTTGTTTTTGCAACTTTCGCTCGTTTTTTGAGTTTGACAAACAACTGACATTAGGCTAGGCAATCTTGGCATGCTGAAATATCGATATTTTCAGCCAATATATTTGGGTCCCATTTTTCGATATATTGAAACAAAATATTCAACATCGAAAATCGTAAAAAAAAACGTAACGTAATTTTTAGGGTTTAAACACTGTTTTAACAACTTTACCTCATGAACCGTGTTAGTAAGGCAGTTAAAATTTTCACCGATTATTTATTTCTGTTGCCGCTACAACAAGAAATACTAAAAAAAATATTTAAGTGGAGCTCCCATACAACAGACATAATTCTTTAGCCGTTTTTATAAACAATGGTATGGAACACTTCGTGCGCGAGTCCGACTCGCTCTTGTTGAGTTATCCAACAAATTCGAATCCGGCGCAGACTTTTTTTGGACGACGGGGTTTCTAGGACGTAAAGAAACCAAAATTGACAATTCTAGGTCAACTAGAAGTATCCTAAAGGTTTTGGGTCGAAAACTTTTATAGTAGTTCCCGTTGATAAAGGTAAATTTTGGTACTTACAAGTTTTTGCAAATATTTAAATTTGCCCATATCTTTTTATCGTGTTGAGTCAGGATCTCAGTGTCTGGTATAAATTTCAACTGGCTAGGTGATTATTTAACAATTTTATAATGGTGGTAAAATGGGTAGGTGGAGCCCTCACTGTACGAGTTTGACTGGCACTTGACCGCTTTTTTATGTGACAATGTGGCAAGCGAGCTGGTGTTTCACATGATGTTCAGTTATAACCGCCACGCATGAACATTTGCAACACCCGTAGGATTTCAGATGCGTTGCAACTTTTTAATAAGTGGGCCCCAGCTACCTCACCATACGAATCGCAGAAGTATAACACTTTCAGTTCCTACCGGGCCTCTGTGAGGTCGTGGTACTTCCCCGTATGTACCTGGAAAATTCAGAAAAATTAAAAAAGTTGAACATCAGGTATTGAAGTTGAAAATTTTAGTACTTACAAGTTATTGTGAAAATATAAATTTTCCCATATCTTTTTATTTTGTTGATTCAGGACCTTGATTTTTATGCTCATAATAGGGAGTATAGACGTCAATAAAAAAAATTAAATTAATAGCCTGTACATATCCTACTGCTGAGCTAAGGCCTCCTCTGTACAGAGGGTATCAGGGCATCGGGTTCCTCACGGTGTTTTCCTTCACCGCTAAGCACGTGATATGTGGTTTCAGCACTGGGGATCAAACTCAGGTTGCTCGAATATATTGAATTAAAGGCAAGCGCCCGGACACTGAGCTATCACGGATCTATAGACCCCAGTATTTGGTATAAATTTCAACTTGCTAGGTCCATCCGTTCCTCATAAAATCGGTGGTGACACACGGACAGACAGACGGACAAGAGAATGTTCTTATAAGGGTTCCTTTTTTCCCTTTCAAGGTACTGAGCCCTAAAAAATATGACGTGATTTTGTACGTGTAACTCATAGCAATTTTTTTTTCTTTCGTTGAAAAGTAATCTTCCCGAAATAATAAGCCCATTAATTCGAAAAAATATATCGATGCATCATTAAACATCGAGAAAGTAAACGATATTTTCAATTAATCGATGTCTGTCGAGCTCGGTTGGTGCCAAAGATCATAAACTTACGAAGTAAGTGTAAGGTCTTTGGTTGGTACTTAATACTAGGGATGAGTAAGTAAAGAAAACATATCAATATGTATCTATAATTATTGAGTGAAAAAAAACCGATATATCGCCAGTTTTCGCATGATTATTCATACATATTTCCAATTGTGTAATAAAGTTCGCGCGTGAGAAATTATACTTCTTTGGTATCATTAAAAATACTTTTTAATTGCATGCAAATAATTAATTACAATAAAATAATAAAAAGAATGGAAAAGGATATAAATTATAAAAATAATAAAACTATGAAAGCGCCATGTACATTCTTTACTGTGAAATGTAACGGGCGAATGTGATTAAGAAGATGATGCCATCAATAACAAGCGGTTTAGCGGGCAGCTTCAAAGATGTTACTTTTGTGTTACAGATGTGCGCGCATTTTAAAATTTCACTCTCATAACTTTTTCATAACGCGCCTAAAGCAGTGGTGAAGTTGCGTTCAACAATACATCGAAATTGATACGAATTCGATACTCTAAAATAAATATCCAATATCGATACATCGTGATTAAAAATATTGTTGATATATACCGATAATTGTATGGAAAAATATCGATATTTTGATGCATCGATGTTTTTTGCCCATGCCTACTTGATACTTGATTTGATACCCGATAAACTGTCCGAGTCCGTTAACTTTTTAAATGTTTGTACTTACCTAATTCTTGGTTTGTATTTTGTTGCATTTCATTTGTTTAATTTTATGTGAAGTGAGTATTAATTTTAAATTGAAGTAATAAATTATTAATTCATCGCTTCTTTCGTGCAACAAATAGAAGTTCAGTTATAATAAACCTTAATTAAGTTTAGTATTGATTGAATACATGTTTGAAAAAACGCTCTTGAAAATTATCTTTACAAGTAAAGCTACAGTTACTGTTTTCATGTGTAATGTAAAAGCCATTAACCGACAAAACAAAAATATTGAAACTTCAAGATTTTTGGCAGTTAGTATATGAATATGAGAAAGAAGTAATAAATTGATCCCCGGAAGCTAGGGCCCATTTTAATAAACTGAACAGAATAATTTAAAATTAATGAAAATGGTGGACGGTGAGAATAATAAAAGTACTCTAGATACCGTACAAGTTGCTCTGCGAATCAGGCCTCTTATGCAGCAAGAAATTGAACGTGGGTGTGATGAGTGCATTGACGTCGTTTCTGGAGAGCAGCAAGTTCAAATCAAAGATCTCGCCTTCACATATAATTACGTATTTGCACAACATATAACACAACAGGAGTTTTATGACACTGCAGTCAAAGGTCTCATAGGAAAATTGTTTCAAGGTATGTTCATTTAAATTTTATATTCCAATGTTGTTTTTATTTTATTCATTCACAACAATGGTGTTAGCTTTGTCATCATGTTTGTAATTTATTTGCAGGATACAATGTTACAATACTTGCCTATGGACAAACTGGATCTGGGAAGACTTATACAATGGGTACAAATTATTCGGGTTCCGATGGTGATTCAACAAAACTTGGTATGTTCAAACTATTCAACATTTGTTTTGGGCATAATTTTGAATTCAGTTGTTAATATGGTTTGTTAATTAAAAACATTACTTCACTCTTCCAAAGAAAGAGAAAAATGTTGAAAATTATTTAAATTATAAAAGCTGCTATATGTACTCATAAAGTTAATACTACAATTTTTTTATACTGCAATAAAAAAAATATATTTTCAGGTGTGATACCACAGGCAGTGGCTGACATATTTGATTTTATTGAAACTCATGAAGATAAATTCATTTTCAAAGTAACTGTCTCCTTCATGGAGCTTTATCAGGAACAGTGTTATGACTTACTATCGGGCAAGGAAAGAGCCCACAGTATAATAGAGATCAGGGAAGATATCAACAAAGGTGTCCACTTGCCTGGTAAGCTGTTCTGTTGATAATTTTACTATTTGTTAATCAGATTTACAAAATTTATAGGAACACTGAAATATTTATGTCACATTTTTATTCATATTTTTGAGTACTTATATGTATCAATAATTTGATGACCCGAATGGCGTAGTGGGTAGTGTACTTGCCTCCTGCGCCAGAGGGTGTGGGTTCGATCCCCACTACTGAAAAAATATTGTGTGATGAACATAGAGTTTTTCCAGTGTCTAGTTATATATGTATAATATGTATTTATTTACAAACGAAAAGTATGTTTAAGTATGTTTATCAGTTATCTAGTACCCATAGTACAAAGCATTGCTTAGATTGGAACTAGAGAATGTTGTTTAAAAATTTGTCCTAAAATATTTATTTAATTCAGTTTCTATTAATTTGTTAGTTGAGTAAGTATGCTTATGACTATTTGATTTTAGGTATCACAGAACTACCTGTAACCTCTACCATGGAAACAATGATGGTATTGGAGAAAGGGTCCATTGGGCGAGTGACCGGCTCAACGGCTATGAACCAAGCTTCAAGTAGAAGCCATGCTGTTTTTACAATTGTCATAGCTAAGGAAAGTCGTACTGATAAGTAAGCAAAATTAGTTATTAGAAACTTACTACAAGCTTAGTATTTAAGGATTATTTTAAGTTCATATTACTTGTCATGGTATTTTTGCTTCCAATTGTCCTATATTCCTTTAAAATATTCTTAAAGCAATGGACATGTCCAATCCGTTAGTGGTAGGTGCCGTCACCTACAGACCCCTAGGTACGATCCGCCGCAAATGGGCAGACCACGACATGCCCTTGATTTCCTTGACGATGAGACGACTATCGTCATCGACAGGATGAAACAATTACGCAAACCCATGAAAACATACCGCACTCGCTGCCGAGTACGGCAATCATATACTAAGTTCCGCCACGTACCTGGCAGGTTTTCCCCTGTTAATGATAGAAGCATTGCTGGAGTTTCTTCCGCCACTTCTTCCTTCACTAATGATAGCTTTAGAAATTCTCCGAATCACACTATAGCTACCGATCGAAGTCCGCTCCTCTCGGGCACCCTCCAATCGGAATCCTTAACGGGTATTGAGTGACAGCCCAAGCCGAGGTCCCCTCTCGGGGGCCCTTGAGCCTAGTCACTCCATGGAGTGTTTGCCAAAGCGCCCTTAGAGCTTGGTGTCCTTCCAAAACGTTGAGAATAATAATATCGTGACAGCCCAAGCCGAGACTCCCTTGGGAGGTCTCGAGCTTAGTCCGTAGGCCTCTAAAACCAACAGTGGTTGATCTAATAAAGTAGCCAATTAAGTGTATTGTATTATTTAGAACTTATTTCGCTCCAGCACTGAAATATTAGTTATGTTATGTTTACACAATCTTCATAATATCAATTGCATGTACAGTATAGATTTCTTGCAACCAATGCTACGAACAGTGGGAACTGCTTGAACCTCAAAATCTTCCAGTCAACCTCAAGTGTTCCTTTATTCTGTTTCTATTACACATAATATTCAACAGGAATATTGCAACTACTTCCAAGTTCCACTTGGTGGATCTAGCGGGTTCAGAGCGAATAAAAAAGACGAAAGCGAGTGGTGAAAGGCTAAAAGAGGGTGTTAAGATAAATCAAGGCCTGCTCGCACTTGGCAACGTCATATCGGCACTTGGTGATGGGACCAACAGGAGTTTCATCAGTTACAGAGATAGCAAACTTACTCGTCTACTACAAGGTAAATAAACGATTATTTCACAAATTTATGATATTTTATAGATGATTTTATTTTCACGTCTAGCGACTAAAACTGCACACATCAGTCCGCATTTAATTGACTTGAGTGTTTTTTTTTTTCATGTGAAAAGTTTGTTACCTCACTCACCAGACAATACGCAAGAGGTTAATGCTAAAAATTCTCTTTTCGGTTTTTTAGGGGTTTTTATTATTCGCCAGTGTCCACGTAAATATAGGAAAATATTCAATAGCAGAGGCATAAGAGATCATATAAGGGAATTAAAATTAAAATAAGAAAAAAAAATGGTCTTCTGTAGCCATGGTAACTCCCCCAGGTTAGCCTTCCCATTTGAGCTACAACAGCATTGGCTCTATACCGTCATAGCTCGGTCGCCGGTGATCGACTTGCCACCTTGTATCTGTATTTTGTGTGGAAGGGGTTGGGTAGTAAGTCCCAACTACCACTACGACCTAGAACTATAATAGACCCTTCGAAAACATTGCCCCCTTTTTGTAGGATAACTATGTCCTGTGTTGTAAAGACGTTTTGCATACATAAATTTCACGTGTACAAACACTCAGATCTAGAAGAATTATCTGTGGGTCACACAAATAGTTGTCTCGTATGGGATATCGAACCCAAGACACGCGACGCCGAAGCCACTACAACTGCGCCACGGAGTCATCAAAGTAAAAGTGCCTTTCCCCCCATATTTAATTTACAGACAGTCTCGGGGGAAACTCCTTAACGCTGATGGTAGCATGCGTGAGTCCGGCCGACTATAACTTAGACGAGACCGTTTCGACCCTGAGGTATGCCGATCGCGCGCGTCGAATCCGCAACAAGCCCATCATAAACCAAGACGCGAAGGCTGCCGAGATTGTGAGGTAATAAATTCTGTTACATAGGTACTCATGGAAGGGATGAAAAAAAATGAGAGCGTAATCTGAGTAATCTTTCAATGCGGTTGAAGTAAAACTAAAAAAAAAAACTTTAAAATAATTAATTTAATAATTGTTCACATACGGCTCAAATATTTAAAAATCGGATGCTATATAAATGATGCGTCATCGCCGTCGCCATCGTCTTAGTCGCGCCTAAATAAGTTTTACTTAAAAAATAGATAACATTTATTTACCCAATAGCTTACGTGTTGCATCTCGTGATATCTTTCAGATTGAACAACTTGGTCAATGAACTGAGACTGCAATTATTGGGGAAACTACCGACGATATGTGAAGAGAGCAATGAGAAGTTACAAGACGAGCTTGAGAGGGAGAAAGCGAAATACGCGGAGTTATTGAAGAAACACAAGCAAGTGACCGAGCACCTGAGCAATATGTTGATTGAGAACACCAATTTGTGCGAAAAGGCACTCTTGGCGGAGGCCGCAAAGGACAAAATCGAGCGAAAGTTAAACGAGCTCACGGAGCAGTGCAATCAGACGATAGAGAATTTGAACACCACTGACAAAGCCCCAGACGAGGAACGTAGGAACAGCGTCGTCGATTATCTGAAGGAAATCAAGTCTAGATTGGAGGATCTGCAATCAGTTAATATGAAGACCAATGAAGAGTTGATCGACCATGAGATTAAGTTGTCATTTGTAAACGAGGACAGTGAAACTGACAAAGTGGATGAGGAGCTACTTCTGAACGAAGATCAAGCAGTGATGGAGGAGGAGAAACGGGCGATGGGCCAGGTAATGCACAGTAATATTACTGATGGTTTTGCCATGGATGCTTGTTACATTCTACGCGCGGTATTTGGCGCAATCACTGTCCCGTTTCCTTTTAATTGAATGGTTGTAGTCACTTTATCTGAATATAAAGTCAGTTTCTCTGAATTCTAGGTTGCATTGAACCAAGAATTGCAGGAGTTGAACCGGGCCATGGCTATTAAGGCCTCTGTCGTCCAAGCGATCCTGGCCAACAACAAAGAGATGCTAGATAGCCACAATAACCTGAAAGAGAATGAGGAGAAGATCGCGCACTTGGAAAAGGAGCGGGATGAGCTTATGCAACAGTTGAAACAGACTAAGGTATATTATGAATGACGGTCATGACTATTCATTTGATTTTTTATCCGAATTAAATTCATACCCATATATTTCTCAAGAGTCGTCATAACTTTAGAAAATATTTTTTTTTTATCTTTTCGTCTATTTCAATTATTTCATATTTAATTGGAGCAAAAAAAACATACTCACATTTGGGTACATACAAACTTGTTCTCTTTTTATGCATTCAGGCTTAAAATATTTCAGTTTTTAAATCTTTGTCTTGACGGCGTCTAATCTAATAATATGAACTTATTATTCAACTCTAAAATAGTCGCTGTGAAACAAGGTAGATTCATGGGCCATAAAATACCGACACGATAATGTCCTTGCCGTTGAAATGTCAAAAATCTTAGGATAATTTTTTTATTTTGAAATGAAACTTTGAAATATGAACTTTTATATATGAATGATTTAAAACTTTCGTCGCAGCAAGATTACAATCGGCCGCTTAGCTTAGTTGGTCGTCTTCGGGTTTCGTGCCCAGACGCTTTAAAGTCTTTGTTAATTCGCCTACAAGAATTCACAATGAAAATTTCAAAAATCTTAATGAAACGACCCATGTCATCTATGAAGACCCATTTCTGATTTGCTCTCACGGCTCCAACAGAGTAAGGACCCATCACACGAGGAGCGTCGCACCAAAGTGTCCGCTCTGGAGGCGGAGATATCGGAGCTGAAGAAGAAATGCCAGCAGCAGGCGAACATCATCAAGACGAAAGAGAAGAACGAGGCCAAGATCGCATCGCTCAATGCCGAACTGCGGGCTATGAAAGCGACTAAGGTGAGATTGAAACGCATGGGCAATTTTGAACACCATCATGTTAAGATAGGGCTTTTTTTAAGTCTTCTTAATAATGTATTATATAGGTACGTATTACTTTTTGATCGTCATATGTTCAGTCTTCAACTGATTTCGAAAACCGTGTCTATTTTGAAAAGACCTAGAGATTTTACTCACTGCATTTATTAATAAACCTCAATCATTAAATTTTTTAATTTTAGTTCCAGTCTGCTTTTAAGATGAAAATTAAAATGTCTAGTTCTATAGTTTTCTAACAAAAATGTCACTATTAATTTGATTTATTTAAAACAAATGAAATATCTTTATTCCACAGTAGTATTACACTCGCTTATTGATGGTACTGTACTTAGAAGAACCAGCAAAAGAAATTCAGCAGGCTTTTTTTAAATTTTGTTATTATCTAAACAGTTTGACAGGAAATTATTAGAAATACAATATAAGAACTCTGAAGAGCCTGTATTGTCCAACCGACTGCGTTCCAATGTCCTATGCGTCTGTTTTCAGGTGAAAATAATCAAGCAAATGCGCGAGGAGAGCGAGAAGTTCCGCAAATGGAAGGCGGACAACGAGCGCGCCATGCTGCGGCTGCGGAACGAGGACAGGAAACGCGCCACCGCCATGGCCAAGATGGAGTCGCTGCACGCGAAGCAGCAGAACGTGCTCAAGCGCAAAATGGAGGAGGCGGTCGCGGTCAACAAACGCCTGAAGGTATATCTCCTTTATACGACATGATGGCTCTGTGGCGCACATGCCAAGGTATTGCCCTCTGCGCCAGGGGTCGTCGATTCGATTCCCATACTAGACAACTATTCGTGTCACTCACAGTTAATTGTTTTGGTCATCTGGGTGTTCGTCAACGTGAATCTGTATTTAAAAACTTTGTAAGAGCGTTTTTAAATACAGATTCTGTATAAGATAATGTTATCCTAAAAATTCGGGGGGCAATGTTTTCGAAGGGAAGACTACAATAGTTCTTTCTAGGTTGCAGTGGTCATTGAGACTTAGTATTCAACCATTTCCTGACAAAATACATAAATCTTTCTTATATCGACTGCACCATTATCCACCATTGTTATTACGTTACCATTGTAATAAGTAATAATAATAATAATGTCTTTATTCATCAGTAAATATGTCACGATTAAAGTATGCTATTTTGCACACAAAGGCTACCTGTGTTGTGGGAAATTGGTCTGCAAGCCGTGAATTACTTGACTCAAAAATATATATATAATATAACCAATGAATACAGAAATAAAATTAAACATGTGCACCAAACACAAACAAAATTATATTCTAAAGTAAAATGCATGTGCAAAATAATATGGATTTTTTTTTTCATTTTTGTCGTTGTTTACATATCTGCTGGTTTATATAATAAATCTATTAAGAATATACACTCTATTTATAAAACATACATTACTAGCTTTAAATTCAACCCCTGAAATCATCCATTTCCATTCAAACACTATTAGCAAGGGTACCGCCAATAAAAATTCAGCCTCTCATTGAATATTTTAAATATCGGACGCTGACAGAAAGTCTGTTCGCAAAACCAGGAAGCGCTAGAGCGTCAGAAACAGTCGCAGATGAAGCGAAACGCAAAAGGAAGTGTGAAGGCTGGTGCGGTGCAGCAGTACATTGAGCAAGAGCTGGAAGTACACCTCAGTATTGTGGAGGCTGAGAAGTCGCTGGAAGAACTCATGGAGTATAGGTGAGGTTTTTGTAATTTTGAGGCAGTTATTCAAAAATGGTGAATGTAGTTTAGACAACTATTGATCGAAAGGAAATATCATTCGTCATTCGACATATTAGCTGAAATCACAGTTTGAATAAATACTTTCATTCAACAATTAATTGAAAATTATGACTATGGTGGGTGCAACTTTCAAAATTTTTATGTGGCAATCATTAAGCTTAGTGGTTTGCACGAATCCCGAAGACGTTTCGCATCGCGTTCGATTCGCATAGCGGCGAAAGAGTTTTCGTTCTTTTCTCTACAAATTTTAATGGGTGCAACTGTTGTTGGTGATTGTATCTATTTAACTTCATATGTTAACGAGCCGTGTTCGCTCAATGTCCGAGCACTCGCTTTTAATTCAATATACTCGAGCAATCAGAGTTGAATCCTCAGTGCTGGGACTAGTGAAATTGTTAATTTTAAGTGCCGACTTAACAGGTGCTCAGCGGTCAATGAAAACATCGGCAACCTGCATGTTATAGAAATAATAACGAAAAAAATTTTTCGAAGATATGTGAAGTCCGCCGATCCGTAGCCGACTATATGACCTACCTTTTGTCCATCAGTGGGACATATTCAGTCTGTTACTATATGTTAATGTTATGTTTCTACACTTAAAAATAATCTAGCTAAAATGTGATTTAATATTCCTCAACCTTATTGTTTTTGTGTTAAAATATTTCATTTGAATATTTTCGCCTACGTAAGAGTCTACCATAAAAGTTATTTGCAATAAATATTTTTTGCTGCATTGCAAGTCAAGATAGGGTGAAAATAAATAATGAAAAACTGTGTTAATGATAATAAAATGACTGCATTTGTCCCATTACCATGAGCTATAATAGTCTTCGAAACGTCGGAAGTTTAAAAGCGGGATCGAACGGAACGAATATTTTCACGGATTTTTTGAAAAAAAAACAGTTTTATTAAACCATGTGTAGTCTACGCATAAATACAAAAATAATTAAATTGCGATTTGCCTTTGACCCATTAAGTATTGTTATAGAGCATGGATAACAGAGCAAATAGAAAATCTCAGAAATAGTACTGACGACGAAGGGAACAGAAAGAAGATTGCCGAGCTAGAGGACGATCTAGCAATGCGGAAGGCGCAGATATCAGATCTACAGCAGAAGATATTGACTGCGGATCAAGGTAAAGTATGAGTAATCTATATACAATCTGGAATCAATGGTCCCACCAAATGATGATAATACCAATATTATATTACATTCGTAATCTATCAGGCACCTGTCAGGTATTGTTCCTGCCATGAAGAGAGGAAATCGCTTAATCATATGAACTGGTTGTTTGCCAATTTTTTAAATAAAAAAAACGTCGACTATTGAAATAATTTGCAATTTATATTGCAAGAGATAAAGTGAAATATCTCGTCGCTGATGTCCGCAGAGAACAAATCGCGGACGCAATGGGACAACATCCAGTCGATGCTGGAGGCCAAGGTGGCGCTGAAGTGCCTCTTCGAATTGCTGGTGGACACGAAGCGGGAGCTGCAGAACCAGAGCGATAAGGGCTTCCAGGCCCGCTACGAGGAGATCAAGGAGGCGCACGACAGGCTGGCGGTGGAGTACGAGAGCAGCAAGACCGAGTTCGAGAGGCAGCTGGCCATGGTCAAGATGCAGAGCGAACAGAAGGTGAGGTCAAAAAGGGAGTAGCATCTCAATTTGGTCGTATGTTTTTTATTTTACGTTTGTTTGTGATTCATGTGCCGATTTTAAAAATTGTTGGTTTGTTAAACTCCCATGTAGTCCCATATTAATTTTATTGATATTGTACTCTAGGCTCCAGAGATAGATCAGGGTACTCCTCAAAATCACATAGTATCACATCTTTATATTAATACTCTTATATATAATTAAGTTTATTATAATATAATAATCTTAATTATTTATAAGATTACTATAATATAATTAAGATCCGTTATGTAGTTTTAAAGATCTAAGCGTACATAGGGACAGACAGATAGTGGGATGACTTTGTTTTATACTATGTGCAGAATGCTAATACTTTTTTGAAATTGTGAATAAAAAATACATTAAATCGATAAAAAATTACATGAACTACATGTATAATTAATTATGGTAGAATTTCGACCACCAGGAGACCACTAGTTTAGGTAATTATCTATTATCACACATCTAACCTACATATCTTCGAAATAAAAAAAATAATTCGAAGGTATACGTGATGATACGCTTATGTCCTAATACCCTCTGTACAGCGGAGTCCTTTGCCCAGCAGTGAGACTTGTTTAGGCTGTTCTTTACTTTAATCTTGTATAACATGCACATAAAATTTCCAGTTGAGCGCTTTGGTGGCCCTCCAACGCGGCGTCGTGGGCAGAGGGGACAAGAGCGAAGCGTGCAAACATTTACAGAATGTGATTCAGTACCAACAAGATCGCTTGGAACTAGTGGAACAAGAAAATGTATGTAGCGCAATTTGAGATGATGTATTGTGTACCTTATGGAATTGTATTAAAGTCAATGCTTAAGTGACACGCGTCTTTATGTGGTAGATAGACTGATTTGATACTAACTTATTCATATATCAACATTCATCCAACATCAATATACGTCGTTTTTCTACATATTTTAATGATCAATATACGTCGTTAATAATGATGATTTGTAATATTTTACTAAGAATAAGGTATGTCTATCGCGCCGGAAACATAACCGATACAATATTTGAATATATCAGCCAGAATTTTGATGAATTAATTTCTATTTAACTGAAATATGTTTAATTAAAAAATCTAAAGTCATCTCAACTGGTATTAGCAAAAGCATTTCATTATTTTTCGGCAACACTTCAATAAAAATATCATAAATTGTCCACAGAAAAAGTTGGCCGACGAACTAGAACAGTTGCGCTCGGCAGGCAAAAAGGCCAAGAAGCGAAGCAAAAACGACACAGAGACCAAGAAGGTGGAATATGTCGAGCCCACTGACGAAGAGGAAGATGAGTTTGAAGATCCGGAGAAAGATCCTGACTGGAGAGCCACACCGCTTTTCAAGCGTATTCAGGTAAAAACTATGAATTAAAGGTGACATTATGTTAACGAGCCACTTGCTCGGTGGGATGAAAGTAAGTTGAAATCTAGAAGAGTTTGGCTAAAACTTTCGGGGTGAAGGAAAACATCGTGAGGAAACCTGCATATTTTCGAAATAATAACAAGAAATATATTTCGAAGATATGTGAAGTCCGCCAATCCGCAGTTGGGCCGCGTGGTGGACCGCCCTATGGTAGATGCCCTGATACCCTCTGTATTGAGGAGGCCTTTGCCCAGCAGTGGGACATGTATAGGCTGTAACTTTACTTTTTTTAAAGCATATTATACCATTTCGGAATATCTCGACGACGTCAATGTGTGGAGTTAATACTGTTGATACTCACGTAGGCTAGAATAAGACTATTATACCTGTATATTATATTGTACCCTGATATTTTTGAAAAAGAGCAACTGTTGAGTTTCTTGCCGGTCTCTTCTCAACAGAAACTGCTTTCTGAACCGGTGGTACCTTACGAACTATATACATAATCTTAGATGTAAAATTTGACGATTCATAAGAGCGCGCAAGCGTGTATTTGAATAAATATATTTTTGATTTTGATTTTGATTCCCGAAGAAGTCGATTCGATTCCCGTGGCCCAAATTTCGTCGCATTACTCCATGATCTATCATCGGGGAAAGCTGTTTTCTTCCTTCACAGTGTACATATCCGTTTCCGATTCAGGCGCAGCGCTCTCGGCTGACGATGAACTTCTCGAGCGGCGATGCGGAGGCGCGCGCCGCGAAGCGCGGCAGCGACGGCGCGCCGCACTGCACCTGCCGCGGCTCCTGCTCCACCAAGATGTGCGGCTGCGTCAAGGCGGCGCTCGGCTGCGGCGCCGCGTGCCGCTGCCAGCCCGCGCTCTGCCGCAACCGCCGCGCCTCCTCCGACTCCGACGACAAGGAGAACAACGTGAGCGCGCTCGCCTCTCCCGCCCCTCTTGCCACTCTCAACCCTCTCGCCCCTCTCGCCTGTCTCGCCTCTATCGCCTCTCCCACCTCTAGTCTCTCCCACTTCTCGCCTCTCCCTCCCACCTCCCACCTCTCGCCAGTTTCGCCTGTCTCGCTTTCGCCTCTTTCACCTCTCTCGCCCATGTATTTTATCCTTGTAACGGAATCATCGAACGCTATTTTCACACACTTCAAAACATCAGGAAATTTTGCACACTTTCAAGGACCGTTCATAATACAATTGTTTGTTTGCCCCATTACCCTGACCAACATCATTACGATTAGCGATTTCTTTCAGATTTTTCGAATGGATCTTTTACATTTTTATTTAATTTTACTAACATTTTTAAAATTCAAAGTTTACATAAAATTGAACAGAGCTAATGTCAATAGCTAAACAATTGTGTCACCGAATCAACCAGTCACATTCTCTTTTTTTTTTTCTTTTCAGCCTTCAGTTTCCGAATACAGCGCTCTAGACACGACACCGCCTTCCTATTTCGACAAACGGTAAGTGTGAACATGTTGTTTAGTACCAGCAATGAGTGTACATAGCTCTAGCACTAAGTCTTTGAACGTGTTTAGATTTGAATCGTCACAGGAATTGAATGAGATGTCGCGAACAGAACAGAATCCGAAGACCGCCGTTGGACCAAATCGAATTTCGCGTCCGCTGCCGGCTTTATCCGATACGAGGCTAAATTGCGCGGAGCACAAGCAGAGATGGATGCTAGCGCTACTTCTGTACAATACTTGCCTTGCACCGATGTCCGAATATTGTGCCAATAACATGTTTCAGTACGGATTGGACGTTGCCAAATACAACGTTATGGCGCTCGTCTTAAAGCTCTTGATGCGGGAGGTTATTTAATTTGTTATACGACTGCCGAACTATGCTCTTACCGCCCTATTAATTTCTTAAATCTATTCTTTACTCGCTTAGCGTTAAGATGTTTTATCGAAATTAGTATAATTTTACATTTTTCTCTCTCGAAAGGCGCACCGAGAAGTATACATTCTATAAAAACCTATCTGGCATTTGGCATATATTCAAGAAGAAAGGACATTTTAAAACATCCTCCTGCTGTAAGTGCATAGTTCTGCAAAGTATTTGTAGTTTGGTTTCATTGGCCACATGTTCAATCATAAATAGCCGATATATAAGTATGTCCATTATAAGATAATGTAATACATAATTATGTAGCACATATATTTGAAATCTGCTATGCAGAACTATGACCTTGTGTGTGGAATAGTTATAATTATACTAATATAATTAAAACTTATGAAGTGAATACTCAATTTTAATTGGGGTTAAATAAGTAAATTGAAAATCCAATTATGTTTTAAAAAAATCTTTTATTTTTGAATAATCATCTTACCAAATTGATATTTTGAGATCATTTTCATTTCCATTGTAGTATTTTTGACAATGTGTCGTAGTCAGTTACATATGTGATAGAGTTAACTCTTGTAACTTGCCACTTTCCCGTTGCAGAAGTCACCTTGACGCCACCTATGTAAAGAAGAAGAAGAGTTATTTCTTCCCGGAAGACGAAAACTAAACGGCCAACAATTTAAAGGTGATATACAATTTGTAACTTTATGTATATATGTTGTGCTTTTACAATAGCTTGTGAACCTGTTTATTCATTCGCGCCGTTCTTAAATTGAGCTTTTTTCCAACTTACAAATAAATCCTAACATAGGCTGTGACAATAAATACTTGTTAACATATTTGTGACTATATCAAAACTGTTTTTCATCTTTTTCATGTATAAGTGCATATTGGGACAAAACAGACAATACTAAAAATAAGTATGTTTATAAAAATCTGAACTGAAACTAATGTGAAGTTATAATATATAAGGAAATATAGAAATGAAAACAATAAATACAAAAACATCACTGTATCAAGTATTATCAGACGAGGTTAATGGTTATATGATCATTGTTTATGGTTATATGATATTGTTTAATGCTTTATTTTTTATATTCTTCAGTGAGTTATGTTTGATATCCAATTCGTTAAATTCATCATTGTTGCATAAAATTTCCAGCAAAATCTGAAATCTTAAGGATGTGACAAGGTCCAAATAGTTAATCCAGTTCAATCCCAAATGTGATGTCAAACAGTTGCACAGATTTTAAAATGTCAGTTATTCATTAAATTTAATGAATGAATGAATAAACAGCAGTTGAATTTCGAGCAATGGGCAATTAGTATGCAATGAACAAAATGCATAGATAATTTAACATGGTTTGCGTTTATATAAATTACTATTATAGGTTACAAGTATGTCATTAATATTGGCGTCATTAAGAACACCTAGATTAAATAATTATGATTGATTATCTTTTCTTTTACAGACTGAAGAATAAGCCCCGAGGTCGAAATGGATCGTAATATATCGGGATAACCTTTTATAAATAACTTTGTTTTCAATTTGGTCCACGGAATTCAAGATATTTGTCTTCGGAGCTCTTAATGTTAATTCGTTTATTTTATGATAATTTTAATTTTAAATTAAGTGTATAGCGTATTGACATAGGATAAAATTTATTCAGTATTGACTGGCTTTTCCTAATCGCAGGTGGGATGCGAGTGATGTCCATTTTCGGAAATTTTTAACTGGAAGTTGAGATGTTACAAATGGATTTATGTTTTATAAAATTGTGGAGTAGATCTCTGAATAAAACTATATTTATTGGTGTTTGTTGTATTACTCTGTAACGTGTTATTGATATATCTACACGAACGGGCACAAACTGCAACAAAAAAAAAAAATTACCGAATACGAATAATTTTCACACAAATTTAAAGTAAAAAGTATAAACCAATTTATATAAAAATAAAAAAACGGCCAAACTCATGTAGAGTTGGTGTATGTACTGACTAATATCTCGTGGTCTACCCACGCTTAGCTTGTCTAATTGAAAACGACAATTTTACAACCAGATAATCAATTTAGTGTAATCAGTGATTAGTTACAGTTTATTTTTTTCTTTTAATAAAGTGTATTACCTTCAGGTGCTTTCATTACGGCTTTCAATCGACTTAGCATGGGCTTGGTAAGGGTATTTGAGCCGCTATTGCTGTGGGCGCAGGATTTTCTGAATGCACGGTTCTTTAAACTATCCCACATATCAATGGGATTAAGTTTGACCCACGTGCTAACCAATCAAAGTTCGTATCCCAATCGGTGGCGTGTGGGCGAGCATTAAAATAAAATGATGCATTGGAATATTTTTTAGTAGGCGAATAAAATTTTTATTATTTAGAATAAAACGTACACCAGTCTCCAAAGTTTCTCGTTATGTATTGCGATGGTTTTTTTTATGCGAAATGGTGGCAAGCGAGCCTGCGGATCACCTGATGGTGAGTGACAACCGCCGCCCATGGACATTGCACCACTTGCAAGGGTTGCAGATGGGTTGCCACCTTAGAATAAAGTGGGCCTCGGCCACCTCATCAGAAGAAACGCAGAAGAATAGCACTTCCACTTCGCGCCGGTCTTCTGTGAGGTCGTGGTACTTACCCGGACGAGCCTGCCCATTCGTGCAACAGTGAAAACTGTTGTGTGGCCCTACCACAGCTATCTCGAACCACCGCTATCGCCGTTTTGATCGTCGATGAACACAAGTTCCGTTCGTCCGTTCATCGATATGCCACCCCGAACCATACACAATTTTGATTTCGTTCTCCACGTCGACGTACTCTTTTGTGACCATCTGCAACATATAAACATGTCCTTCACTCATTGATGAAAAACAACCGATTAAGTTTTCACGTGCAAATCGTTAGCTAGTTTGTATGTCAGCTGCTGACAACTTTGGACCATTAGAGTGTAAAACGTTTGATGTCGCCTTTTAGGGTATCTAATGGTCCAAAGTTCGTTCAACGGAGGACAATATTACACCCAGAACCGAAACAAATATTTGTAGGCACTTCAAATTTATCCTCTATGCCGTTCTTTCTGTGATTGTACGCACAGGCTCAGCCGCTGCACGAAGGCTCTTCCAGGGCCAGGTTACAAGTGTAAAGTGGAAGAATTTGGTATTGGTCATTTATTCCATTGCGCGGCAGTAAACTCTTGACAGGTGTATAGAAATAAAAGTTTACATAAAAAAGTCAATTACGATATCAATAGTTAATTACAATCATACATTTAAGTGTGAATGTTCTCGTACAGATTGTGCCTAATATCAAAAAAAAACCTATTGTCTGCAGATAAAAATGTTTGTTTCCATTCGTCGTTTTGGAATGTTACTTAAAATTCGAGCGGTTCCGTCGATTGTTAGCACGAAAGAATCTCCATTGATTTTGTGAAACCCAAACAGAATACTATCTTGAAATATGTGTCATTCCATTTGGTGTTTGCAAAACAAAATTTGCCGCGAAAAATGAAAGAAACTGAAACGAGAAATATTATTTCCTCGAGTACATTTATTTAACAGTCCTAATTTCCCAAATCCCTAATTAAGTAACAACTCAGTCAGAGACTTCATCTAGCATTTAAGCGACATTAAATTTATTGAGATAGCGAATTCTGCCTGGATGGCCTATTCCAGTCTTATCCAGGCCTTATCATTTAGTGAGATATATTTAGTACTGGCAAACTTATTAAAAATTTAAATATAATAAAAAACAAAAGTTTCCTGATTAGGTTAGTTAGTCAACGTGATTGGAAATGATTAGAACTGCCTTGCAGCGCGTGTTTTATCGAAATATTAAATGACACGTCCGGTTTCTGAAAGTCTGATCATTGTAGAAGTTAACTAATCAGCTGTCAAATGGCTTTTCAAATGTTATTTGAGTTGCCAAAAGGATTTTTAAACTCTTTGAATTCATCATTCTGATCATTAAGAACATCCAACTATACCTGCAACTGCATCAGAGATGTAAAAAGACATTTTTTTTTTCTATACTTTTCCCTTAGCTGAGCGCAAAGTCTTCAGATCTTATTTATGATATAAACATTGGCGAATCGACTAAAGGCTTGGGTGAATTGCAAAAAAGTTCTTGATCAATCAGTTTCAATTAGGCCGTTAACTCACGTCTAGGGTACGTAAAGGTACATATTTCTTTAAGCACTCATAATAGTAATATTTGCCCACCATAATAATAGTGAATAGTATTGACACAAACTAAATTAATTTCACGTTCACTACCAAACCTAGCCTACGCGGCATGGTGAAAAGAACGCTAGCGGCATTTCCTCGCTGAATCCTGATAGTCCTTCACTGTTCAATATTCTTTATCTATTCACTCTTCAAGGCAAAAGTGAATAGATTTACTAAGCTAGTGAGTTAACAATCAAGTTGGTGTAGGCATGAAGGTAGTCCAGTTCTTGGGTAAAAGAAAACTACAAACCAAATAGCAATCGTGTGTTAATGTAAGCCGACAGTAACTGAAAAGTACAGACTTCCGGATTGAAATTCCATAACAAGTGTTTTGATGATGTCACGCTATCGGTCTAGCTCGAATTAAGCAGTAAAAATGTTTTGCGTTTCAAAAATTGTACAGAAGAAAGATACATTAATTTTTGGCCGATCAATATTTTCAAGAGATTAAATAAATTTATTAGAACTTTTTCTAAGTTATGAAAACCTAGCAAAGGGGATCATCGACGTCAAGGTTAGGCTAAGCTACGTCGCCGGTGATGACGATTCGGAATTTCAACGTGACATATTTGGATGAGGTGTGCGGTAACGCAACGGCGTTTGAATCATTCGGAGTCCGTTTGCGAGCACCTTGGCCGACTTCGTCCTGACCTCGCGGCGACGTCAATGCGAGTCGAAAGAAAGCCTCCGCTTAGTTGTACTAATGGTTCTCGTCCATTACTTACTACATTTTTAATCGATCGTTGAATAGGTATACATTCGTACACCGTTGAATAGGTAAAGCTAAGAAAGTTATACAAATCGAAACAAATGAGTTATGACGGGGCCTAATTATGTTGCGTATTGTAAATAATCACCAACAGAAAGAAATCACTAAGAATATAAAAATAAAATTCAGTATATTTCGCTTTCCTTTAAACTGCATTTTGTGTTGTGTAAACATACTTTTATAAACGACTCTCTTTACAAGAAACAAGAAATAAGCGTTCTCTCGTCCTCGGATTGACCTCGGATTGATGGAGTTTTAGAATTATATTTCTATTTATTTGTCAATTTGCATTTTTCGACCACTATATTTCATAGTAAAATGAAGTGTTCGCTACAAGGACTTGATAATATGCTAATACTTTTGAACACAATTTTCATCAAATTTGAAAAGATTACATGCAATATGTATTATGCATACTCTCTCCTGATTGTTTTGCAGCCAGATGGGATAGTGCAGTAGTGCGTCGATTTAATCACTGGCACTGAAACATTACGACAATACGAATTATATAATGTTATTTGGTATCTGTTTACTACTAACACTAGAATTTAAGTTTCCGTTTTAAAAAGAAATACGGATCGTCAAATATCAGAAATCAAAATATTATCAGCCTGTCCCATGACCATTAAACGGAAAAGGTTCGAAACGTCGGGAATTACAAAATCAAAA